AATTTTCAGAACACTTCCTGCTCAGCTATCTCCAATTTTGTTACAATGTTTATAGCACAGTGTTTGAACATATATAATACGTGCTGTGAAATTTTAGCTTCATATATCAACTACTTTTCAAGATATATTTTTTTGAAAAACTGTCACTTTTTGCAGCAATGTTTGAACATTAATATATCACAGGATATTAGGATAAAAGCCTGAAATCTTCACCAGTTGTTCTTACCATCAAAATTAATCAGGATCTGTAGTTTGGGACAGAAGCATCAAAAATTGCCGGACTATTGGATTGTTAAGAAATGAAGATGAATAAAAGTCCAGCACTTCAGCACCAGTGTTGGTCAAGTTACTTGAAAAAAGTAATCAGTAACTAATTACTGATTACTTCCCCCAAAAAGTAATCCCGTTACTTTACTGATTACTTATTTTCAAAAGTAATTAATTACTTAGCTACTTAGTTACTTTTTAAAAACACGATTTACAACCTGAAGAGGTGATAAAGCGATATATCTTTCAGCCCAATTCTACTTTTTCTACATAATCCATCATACAAAATGTAATCAAATGGAAAAGTCTCTTTTTTTAACTTGTTTGATCAGTTTTAATCTTTTAACTTTATGCATCAAGCAAAAATTTAATTATATGCAACATTCTCTGAGTTAAATAAATGAGTTTAACATTTAAACCTATTTTCTGCACATTCCAGCACATAAAATAAAATATTTTTTTTGTTTACACTCACTCTTTCAAATAGATGCAAGTAAAACACAGCAGAACATAAATAAAGTCAAAGACTAGCGGTCCTGTTGCTCTATTTTCACCTGTAAAGCAGGACTGCGGTAGGCGGAGGTTTACCCTGGTGTAGGTGTGCAGCGGTCAGTGGAAGGATACGGCAGTGTCTCTGCGAGTTTCCCATTACGTCGTTGCGCTCTCGGTGCTTGCTTGGAAGTTTAGGGGTTTTTTTCGCTGTAAAAAGAAGTTTTCTTCCCACGCACGATGGACGCTAATGTTTGTGTCACTTTTTATGGAATCAAACTCAAAGTAAGGTCAGTACTTCCACGCTGCACGCTCATACTCTCTCTGCACTCGATATATGATCCATTGTTGATCTGCACACAGCTGTTGTCACTAACGGCGCACTCGCTTACGTCACTGTCGTGAGACATTCTCGCAAAAAATCACGGTTTTAGTAACGCAGTAACGCAACGTTCCTACGGGAAAGTAACGGTAATCTAATTACCGTTTTTGCAATAGTAATCCCTTACTTTACTCGTTACTCGAAAAAAGTAATCAGATTAACGCGTTACTGCCCATCTCTGTTCAGCACACAGTAATAAAAACAAACAAACATTAAATTGCAAAAGCCAGTTAGGTCTGATTTATCTGAGACACAATGACCCAGTAGTAAGTCTCACACACACACACACACACACACACACACACACACACACACACACACGCTTTGCAATTGTTTTATTAATTCTTTGCACATGTTGCACTTGCTTCTTTGCACTTGAAAAACCCAGCCTGCGAGGGGTTACTAATTGCATCACAAATGCGCAAGTCTGTTGCACAACTTTAGTGCTCTCCCACTGTCTCTCTATCTCTCTCTCGCTGTAGTGCTCTGGTATGAAGACAAGAAAACCAAAACATGGCTGTGCTTTCTTCCTGAGAACACAGCTGTTCTTGAGTCGGTACATAACCATAAAATTTTTAATTCTCGATGTCTCACATCTGACTTTCAAGACGTCACCTGTCAATTACCAGATTCTTAAACCAAGATATAAGTACATGTACATGATACACTGATTACTGGAAACTAATGCACACCATGGAAGACATTACTCAACAAAGAACACGTGGACGATCAGACCTGTGCTTCTGTGTCCTTCTTCACAGTGGAAAAACCCAAATTATGAGCCTATGTGGCAGTTTTGGTTCTTACTGTGTAAGCAGGGGATTTCAAGGATTGCCTGCATCACAGTGGCCAACAGCCAGTCGTGTTGCTTCTCACTCAACTTTCAACTTTTCATTTTTTTTACTCAATCGCAAGTCTTTCTCTTTGTATTTTTGTGTGTACTATGTGGATTGCCCTAATTTGGATGTGCATTTTATTCAAGTGGCCAAACTTCAGCATTGTGGAGCTCTTGGGAGGTACACAGAGGAGAAACCAAACACATGTCTCTGCCTTGTCCTAGCAAACACAGCTGTTACTGCGTCCCCACGTCACCCCTCGCCGTCTGAACTCGTTTGCCCAGAATTCCCCTGGCCAAACAAACCAAGCAGGTCAACACATAAGTAGCAGCCAGTTTATACTGAAAATGTGCTAAACAAGCATTCATTCAGGGCTCAAAGGCAACACAAGTAAGTGCTGCCTTCTGCAAGTACTGTGCCTCATAAGTTTTAACAGGAATATCAGTGTAATATGTTGTAATTAACTGGGTATAAACACAACAGAGTTCACCTTTTGTTTCTGCAGTTTGCCGTGTATTCATGATAGAATTAATAATTCCCTGTAAGGGTTTACACATGGCTATTTATGAGTTCTGTAGTTGTTGTTCTACATTTTAGGTATGTAGTATGTTCACATTTTATTTAGGTAAGGTTAGGTCATTAGACAGACTGGGTATGTTTATAGCACCTATTTCAAAGCAAGTATTTTACAATCGGTATAAAAGAGTGTTTTACACGCACTGTTTCACATGAGAAAACTAGATAAAAGTGCTATAACAATCTTGTAAGTGGGAAAGGTCAATGTTATTGGTTTGTCTTTTTGTGCATTGGCCTCTGATGATCTATATTGTCTAATAAACAGCAGACACACTGAGTTTTTGTATAACGCCTTTGTGTAGATGAATGATTTTCTCAGTTGCTCAGGACTATGAGACTTCCATCTGTGTGGCTGTTTTCAAGTTTTTAGCCTGGAGGGGAAATCTAGAAGACTGTGGATCTGGGCCTTTGCTGTGAGTGGTTATTTAAAGTGACCTTTTCTCGGGTTATCAAAACTACATAAATCATCAATCTTTCAGAGAAAGCATGCCGTGGCCTGTGTTCCATAACTTCTACAGAACAAACACGTTTTTTGGGCAACCTTTAAATCCATTGTACTGTGGTGTCAGCAGTCATGTTTCCTTCCTTTCTATTATTGTGAATTTTGGACCAGTAAGCCTTCTTCGTCATTTTTATGAACCTTGTGAAAATTATACATTCAACACAGAGCCGTGACTCAAAATGATATCGATAAGGTGGATTTGAGGACATTTTTCTTTTCCAAAATACACTAAGCACAGACCTTGTGCAGCATTAGGAAGAATCCATTCTATTTATAGTTGTACTTAAACAACTGATCAAAGACTGGCACACTATTAAACTCTGGATTTATGGTGACACTGCAATTTTTGTCTGTCTCCGTTAGTTAAATAATCTAAAGTTTACTGGGCAGTAGAGTACAGTTATATAACTTTGTAAGAGTATTAAAAACAGACCAGATCCTTTTTTTCTTCTTCCTTGGTTATCTATACAAGCCTGAAAACAATAAGTGCTACATTCCAGGGATGGATGAACCTTTGTTTTGTTTGGATTTCATTTCAAGAAAGAAGGGTTAAAAAACAAAACAAATGAAAAAAAAATACAACATTTTCCCTTCAAGAAGGACGCAGCAGGAATCACTTTTACTTCAAAGCAAGAGTGTTTTGTTTTTTTTGTTTGGTTGTTGTTGTTTTTTTTAACAACAGAATAATTTAAGTGAACATTCAGTTCTACCTGTTCCTTCAGGATCCCTGATTGAAATTAAAGCAAGAGCAGCTGTCTGTAGAGCTATATTTAGGTTGAACAGCTTCAAACACATAATACAAAGAAGTCTGCTGTCTGTTCATCCTACCTGAGGGGGGCAGAAAAAACATGTGGGCGGTGGACCCACTGGTCTGGATAGAAAGACACATGCAGCTTTGCCTTAATGGGAAACAGACGTGTTTATTTTTGGATGTATACGTAGAAATTCTCCCACCTGTGATGCAAAAGCAATACTATTGGTAGCAAAAAGGACTATCTGTTATCCATGATGGTAGTATATAATAATGGCAAATGACTAGAAATAGTGGCAAAGGCACACTTCAGTACAAGACAGAAATAGAAATGTAAGGCAACGATAGTGTAGGTTTTATTTAAGTTAAGGTGATTTTTTTTTAGTTGTTTGAAGTTAGTAAGATGGAGAGTATGGGAGCTAAATGGAAAATCACACAAGCGATCTTCAGGGTATAAGCGGCAGCAGGTCTGAAACTCACTGGTCAACAGATCAAACCAACAGTCACCTTAGTGTAATGGACGTACTTTACAGTGTTTGGGAGAAAATCCCAACAATTAAATTATCCTCTATGAGCAAGCACTTTACTACGATGGGAAGGAAAAACTTCCTTTTAACAGAAGGAAACACTCCAGTAGGACCTGGATCAGGGCAAGGCAACCATCTGCCATGACCAGCTGAGGGGTGTGGGGAAAAGAGAAAAGAAGAAAGACACAAGGAAAGAAAGAGCACAGACAGTCAACATTCTGCAGAGCTATGTAAACATTTAGGGAGTGAAAGGAGGTGAGTGGAGGAGAAGTGCGCAGTGCATCACAGTATATTACATGAAATCTTGCAGCACTTAGAGACTAGTGCAGCAATATTAAGGGTTTGTTCAGGGTCAACTGATCTAGTCTTAACTATAAGCTTTATCAAAAAAGTGTTGCTACCTGCAATTGATAAGTATGTACTTAGTGTTTTAGGTAATACAGCGGCTGATCCACAATTTCTGTTTCGTCTCTTTTATGCTTTCTTGGTCTCTTGGCTATAGAACCCAAAACTGTTACGTAGACCAACATTTAGCAACTTTACAAGGGTAAAACAAAGCCTTTCAGTTGCAGCTTTTTTTTCCCACCATGAGCTGTTCTTGTCATTGACTGAGCAAAATATAACTCTTGTAATACAGAAATGAGTATATCTTAAAATAAGATGAATGCCGTATTTTCAGATGTTTTTTATTTTTATTTTTAAAAAGATGCATAGTATCCACATCAAATTTTAATGGTTTCTTCTTTTGCACATACCACTCGGACATTATGCAGAGTTCCTCCAGAAAATCAATGCTACTTTAGTACTGTTTTTCTCGAAGGATGTCAACCATGAGGTGGAGATTTAGCATCAATCTGTGGAGTTTGAAACTTTTTTTAGAATACTAACAATCTGTAATCATGTGTTTGTCTTTAAACTATGGGGTTTACCACAAGAGTTTCTCAGTCTTTCTTTTATTCTTTTCACAAATCCGAGTTTAACTTACTTTAACTTACTTAACTCTGTGTACTATTCTTTTGTTCCAAATGGTACAGGTCATCAAATTTTGGAAATTCGTGTGGTTTCAATAAAAACTTTAGAACTTGAATGGCTGAAGGTATAATCGTTAACATGTCTTGGTTTGATGATATTATCGGTTCCCTTCTTTTTTCTGAATTCCTGGCACAACCAAATATTACTGTGTCATAATTAAGCCCTTTATGCCCTTTAAGAGGGCGATTCAACACAGGACAATATTTGTACAGCAGAAATCCAAGAAGCTCCAACAAATTTGTGACTCTCCTACATGAAAAGCAGACAGCTGATCTTTGATGTAGAAACTAAAGAGGTTAAATATTGTTTTTAAAAGAACATTTAGCAGAGACAAAAAAAAGCCCTGCCTCTGGACTCCCTCCACTGTGAATGTAAGGGATGACACTGACAACTGAGAGCAAGTATTCAGCTTTTAACACTTCAGCATCACTTCGCTCTCTGCTGAGCTTGACAGATCAATAGACTGCCTCACAGCAGGCCCTTGGGAAGTAAAAAGACATCACAGCAGTGTCACCGCTTACCTTTTTACAGTGACAATGAAACCCGAGTATGACAAGGACCCCAATTTGGCAGCTATCTTGTGTTCCCGTTTAAAAGCCTAATTAACTGTTTGATTGGCTGTGAGAGTCAGTGCTGGGCGAGTATGTGAAAAATGAACAATCAGGTTCTAATTATTTGTCAGTTCAAATAGATATGATTGCGTAATTACAGTCCCTAACCTGAACCCTTCAAAGATGAACACTGTGACAGAGTCTGTTTGGGAAGCTCAAGTTTATTTAGACTATATTCAGTGAAGCAGTCCTGCTGGCACCGTATATCATTAAAAGTACCTGAGTCTGACTTAAGAGTTGTGTTGCTGCACAGAAAGCTTTTCAGAAAAAATGCCCATTTGGAGATTTTTCCACTCGTCTTTTTGTTTCCAAATATCCTCCCATACATGATAAAACTGTTTCTCAATTCTCCCACACGTGCTGATTGGTGAATGTAGGTCAACACAGATAAATTTGAAACCTCAGATTTTGTAATCACTTCATGTTGTTTACATTTATTCTTTTTTTTAACTTCAGGAAAAGTTTGTGGAAAGTTGCTGGACAATCATTTTGTTTGTTGTTTTTTTCAGGGCAATAGAGAAAGAGTCAACTACACTATCTATTGATTCAGCCATCAAAAAAGGTCTTTCTTTAGACAGAAGGTTTTTTTTTTCCACAAAAAAACCCTTTCTTTAACTTTCCTTTAATTTTCTGTGCTCTACCATTAAAATAAACAAGCAGGAAAATGTATTTATTTAAGTTAGAAAAGTTAGAAAAAGGACTTTTTTTTAAATCGTAAATTTACAGTTCTTTTAGTGTATTTATTCTTTTTCTTCTGCGTCAAACATGTGGTTGGGGCATACTTTCTGTGCCAAACACTGTTCTGCATTTGCTTTAAAGGAAATAGAAACTTCCAGAAAATTTCCAGGGTCTTTGCTGAAGAAGCAATTCTTTTTCTCGAATTACACCAAACCACATTAAAGTTACATATTGTTTTATATACTTCTTCCAAAACTGATGATTCTTCCACTAGTTAAGAATAGGCTAATATGTCACCGACCTGATGTTGTCTTAAAAGACAACATCTAAGTATTTAGTTTTATAGGAAAGCACATGTGGTAGATATTCAGGACAATGGACCTAACAGTCAATACTATGTTTAGATTATACATACTGCTGTGAGTATTGCTGTCCATGCCTCCATGGTAGAGGAGAGGATGGATTTCTTTGTGGGGATGAAGGTAACAAAACAATGAGGGTAGCAAGAAAGAAGAAACGGGTTGCAGACCATAATTTTGCCACTGAGTTTTACTGCTGAGCCTCTAAGTTTCAGTGCTGTTGAGCCCTCATTACTCATCACATCAAACCTTTCTAATAACAACCTTCACTGCTCATCTAAGTGAATTATTTCAGGAACAGGTACAACAGGTATCTGGTTGATGGTGATAACTGTTTTTATTTAAAATATTTATTTATTTTTCCTTTAGGCAATATTCTGTTACTTTTGCTCTCCTTGCAGTGATTTGACAGTGGGGATTACACTCCTTTAATTATTTCCGCAGCAAATTGTTGACACCATTAGTCAAGGCTTTCATTTGGGATAAAACAATAGCCCCACAGCTCCAACTAATATGTTCAAGCACTGGCTTTTTGTGCCCTCTGCTGACAGATGATGGATTTTGCATTTCAGCTTTCTACGTATTATGCTATAATTTGTTAGCAATTAGTTAACCATACTTACTGTAGTGTGTGCCTTAGCTTTCTTTTGCACTCATCATTACAAAGTGTTGCATGTCATTATTCCAATTTTTCACGAGTTCCTGTATAAAATATAAACTTTATATTTTTTGTTGTTTCTCAGATAACAATAACATTATTTTCTCAGTAGTGATTCATAATTGCATGTATGTAGCTTATGTATGTATGCAGCTGAGTGTGAGTATTAGTATGTTTGCTGGTTCGAACTTGTAAAATTTCCCGGTTTCTTCGGTTAAGTTGTTTTTCAAGGGGTTTCTTGGTGTGGACAGGTGCCTTCGGTATGTTGTGGGCACGCTGGCAGACTTTCCATGTCTGTACACCTCAGTGCCAGTCTATGTGGGCAGCAAGGAAGCCACTTGTAGGAGCTGTGTGAGATACAAAAATTTAATGGCACACGAGGATTCAGTGCATATCAGTTATTTTCCGTTTCAGCTTCAGGTGTTACCCATTAAATGCTGATGTAAATACGCTTCTTTTTCTGATGTCGTAAAACCGCTAAAAGTAGGAAGATCTGCTACGTCGTTACTAAAAAGCTATAGCTTCCAAATCAAAGTTTCTCAAATAAGCTGTTACATTAGCAGTGATGGTTTGATCAGTCAATACTCACCCATTGAAGCATGACAGATCACAGATGGGAAGGTTGCAGGTGAAGCATTCAGGTCATTCTGCTGGTCTTGAGTTGGGTCATTTCCTGCAGGCACAGGACAAACTGAAGCACACAGTAAGAGTGACAGAAAATAAACACTGAAAATACAAAATAGCAAAGTTAGTGTAAATATATACTGCTGCGTATTGGAAATGACTCAGCTTCAAGTTTGATGTCAGTTGAAGCTTACTTTAGACTTCTTGTACATTTCCTTTAACTAAACACAGCAGCAGATTGTTGTACCTGTACAGACTCCTTGTCCCGTTTCAGTTCCCTCCCCTAGCAACATTTCCTGCAGCAGGCTGTCCATTTTGGCCTCGCCAAGCAGCTGTGCTAAGTGAAGAGTCTCAACCATCTGCCAGGCCACACTCTGCAGGGGAGGCAGGATCAGCAGGAGTTCCCCAAACCTTCCTCGCTGCTCACATGTTGCTTCTTCTAAGAGAAGATGGGCCTGGAAACGGAGATGTCGAACCACCTGAGGACTCTTCAGTCCCGAACAGTCTGCATTACATAAGGTAAGAAAGTCTTATGTAAATATAATATTGTATAAGGGAACCACTTAAATAAATGCACTTTGGTCAAATTTAATCTAAGCATGGGTAACCATAAGTTTAAAGTGTAAATGAAAGAAGAAAAGAAACAATAAGACAATGATAAAAATAATATCAACAATCCTCACAGAATGAAATGCACTGAATAAGAACTGACCAACTGATCATCACGAAGACAAACCAGAATCCTGTTAGAACAATGTTTTGTAGATAGATTATGTGAAATATGATTTTTTAGTCTAAATAAGAACTATTCTGTTTGAAGCATGAAAAAACAGACATTGTTGATTAAGCCTGCCTTTCAGTGTCTGGGCCAGCACAGCTCTCCTTAATTAATGCAGCAATGAATTCTGAGTTATGCAATCACTATTTTACAGAAAATATCTATCTGTGGACTGAATCTACACGCACAGTAGGTGGTGCAGAAAGACAACAAACGTCAGGATGGTGTTCAAGTGCTGAAACCCAATAGCAGTTGAAGCTAGTTGGACTTGTGTGAGAGTCTGTTGACGTTTTACGGTAATAATTATCCAGAAATATAGCAAATTCACAAACTTTTTCTCCAGTTGAATGTTATCTATTTGACAGGTGTGATTACTTATACAAGGCTAATTTTGTATAATTAGGGGAAAGGCATGATGGGAGTGTTTCAAGTGCAAATGAAAAAATAGGGTTGAATGAACTATATGTGGATAAAATTGAAATCAAACCTAGAATATGACTGATTATATTCATCTCTGTCTTGGACAGAGATGAATATGTTTGCCAGTTCAGACCCTTTGGACCTCCGGTCTATCCCTACCACAACAGGTAAATGGGGAATGAAGTTAAGCAGGCAGCCTCTCTGCCTGACTGCCAAGAATGCCACCACATCCTGATATTAGAAAATCTCTCTGAAACGTACTGAACTCAGACCGCTCAGACTAAACTATAGCTGAAATTGGCAAGAACAATAAACCAAGAGAGAACATAAAAAAGTCAGCCTTTTTTCAGTGCAATAGAAAAGGGCAAACAGAAATAAACCTCATTCACCTTCTCACATGCTGACTGAACTAACCTGGGGCAAAGAAGACAATCGTCCGGAGGCAAGCAAACTCTTTGTCTGTGATGACCAGCTCTCTGAGAGGTTTGACCAGCTCCTCTTGAATTCTGAATGCCACTCTGGATATCTCTACTTCTGCACCTCTCGGTGGAATCACAAAGTCATTACCTAGTCAATTAAGAAAAAGATAGTCACTCACGTCCAAGAAGTTTAAGTGTGAAGTTCAGGCTACAATGCACAAAATACTACAGAGAACACATCTGTCCTACCAAGAAGAATGACATTATTGTAAGGCAGTGAGCGTCTTGCTACCCCTAAGATAAGATGTTCTGCAGAGTGGGTTCGTAGAAGGGTTACCTGCAAGCACACATACACGGGTTTCACATAATATAAAGAGTCACACTTGGCATGGACAGATATATCTTAGCTGTTTAGTATAAAAGGTTCATTCCTCTTTGTACCCTGTCATCTATTGGAAGGCTACAAAACTCTGGGATGTGTTTAGCCCATTCCACCAGCAGGAGGAGTTGCTGCTTCATGGACTCGAACACCTCTCCCACACCTGCTGTCTTCTTGGTGGTGATGTCATGGCTCCTAGGAGAGAGAAGTGCTGGGAACTGAAAGAAACAAAGTATAATCTGAATTCACAGTAAACAGGTACCATGGATGTAAACCTTAGTGTATGTGCGCAATTAAGGAGATAAACCACAAACATTCTTTTTTTTTAAATGGATCAGTTGGACCACATAACAATCCATTTCAGAATTCCTGCATTGCTGTAATTGGTGTACCAATCGTCTCTCTATGCTGCAGTAAACCCTGATAACAAACACTTGCAGTCTTACATGGTGTCCTACTGAGTTTCTTATTATACTATGTAAAAGCAGACAATGCCAAGTCCTATTTTCTTACATGTACAACAAGAGAAATCACTCTAAGAGACACTGTCTGACGTGACATTGTCCTACTTAAAACTTGCTTAAGACTGCCTGATAACAAATGCTAAAGCACACCAACTCTTATGCTTTGTAACATCACATTACTTCTTCATATTAGTCATTGTGTCAACACAGTTTGTTACATAGCACTTAACAAATTACAGGTATAAGAAGTGTTATCGACTACACCCTTTTTTGCACACTTCATCCAATTTGGATATTAGTCTCCATTTAAAGTGTAACAATTATAACAGACTTTTAAAAAATGAATTTAGATAACTGCTGTTTTAAAAACAGCACATCGGCTCAAATATCATGCAAATGCACATGAGTGGGCCGCCTGTGGCTCAAGTGTTAGTGGCTGCCCTCTAATCATGAGATGCACCCAAACGGTTCTTCAAATAAATGCTTTCTGTAACTGCTGTAAGGTTAAAAGACGGCTCATAAGTGCAGGGCAGTTAAGAAGACTCACTTTGTTCAGTAGCTGTGTGCTCTAACATCTTTTTGCGGTCTTGCATTTATTTGACTTCAGATTAATCTTTAATACTTAAGGATCAAAACTATTTTCCTTTTCTGTTAAATTCAGTTAACTTTTTGGCTTACTGCGAACCAAAATGAATTCATTAAAATCATGTAACCTTAGAATTTTTCATCTCTTAGCTTTATTTAAATCATTTCTAAAATGATTTAAAAAAAAGTGGTATACACATTAAAAAAGGATTAATTTCTGCCAAAGAACATAACATCTAAGACCAGTAGCGTGTTACCTGCTGAACAGTGGTCTCTGCCTGCAGCAGCACACTGATGGACAAAGTGCCCACTGTCTGCTCCTTGGCTCTCTGACTGTTGATGCAGTCTCTCTCATTCTGAACAGCTGGACATTAAAGAGAGGAAAGAACCATCAGGCAAGCTTCTTGGCATCTCCGCACATTAGTCCTGCACTTGACTGTTTTTTTTACTCGCCTCCTCAGCAAATACATCCCGAAAGAAATGCCCTACTCTTCATCTCAACAGAGTCCCTCTATCCCCCGTGACACTGAAGCTGCTGTTTATGGCTATATTAGCCACGCCAAATGCTGCATACTCGGGAAATGTGGCACAAATTGGATAAAAATAAAATTCTCCGGGAGCCTCTTTAAGTTTCCTTCTGTTTGCATATTTAAGTGTCTCTATTCCAGGATTTAAAGGAGTATCGAGTGAGTAAATGTTACATTTCTTAATATGAAATAACTGAGAGGATGATGAAATGTGATATGAATGGGTGCACAATTATGTTTCATATAATGCTGGCAACATCCTACTCAAGGTTTATCACTGGTAAGTATAAAGTTGCAGAAGAGGAAGTATGGAGAACCAATAAGAAGTATGTAGTACATCTAAATGTAAACCTGGTGACGTTAATATTTTAATCCAGCCGTGTAGACTTTCTTCAGTTTGATGTGCTTTAATGTGACATTTTGTTTTTGACAGCTTCTTACATTTGCTACTGACAGTAACAGTTGATGTGGAGGCTTGGGCGCTCGCTGATTAAGATTATATTTTGAAGGGAAGATGTCATCACATGTTGTTGACCCATCCGCAAGTGTCATTAGAAACACGGCAATCTGGATGGCCTCAGACTAATTCTAAAATGGCTCTACAAAGTCAGACAACACAACCAAGTGTCAGAGTAATCAGTCATCAGAGGTGTCCTCTCAGCAACCAATCTGGAGCACATTAATCAAACTAAAGGAGGAAAAGGAGCAGCAGCAGCACCAGCAGGGTCCCTCTGTACTTCACTGACATGGTGCTGCATGACAATGTCACAAATGAGCCTTCTGTGGAACATAAATTAAGTTTAGTTTTGGAGTAAACAGTTACACGGCTTACTTGGAGGTCGAGTACAAAATAACACGATACTGGAGACTTGTTCAATATTTTTACTCATCCGTTCCCACAACAGCTGTACTTGAAAGTGTTATTAGAACATGTTATGCAAATCAGGCAAATTAATGAAATACACGTTTAAAAGCACACCGCTGGCCGTGACTTCAAAGGGTTGTGAGCAACTGCTGTCCAGAAAAATGGAGAGCAAATATTTGGCCATGCTCAGCTGTGTTAATTATTCATGTGAAACGAGGCTCCTTTGATTGCATCGCTTTCTCCTTGCTTCTCAGTAGGAGTCGATAAAAGATAAAGCCAACGATAGACACAGTCCACGTAAACACACCTGGAAATTGACACTGACACGTTCACTGTTTCTCAAGAAAGATTTTTTTCCGCTTTTTTTGATGAAGTGATATTGATTGTTTTATTTTTCACTGAAGTAGACAGGTTTAAATTTAAAAATACAGAGCAAAATGTGAGGTCCTGGATATTCTCAATAAGGTATAGCTGAACCTTTTTAGGTAGGTTGTTATAGCTAAGTGCATTTTTTTTTTCAAATTAAAGACTAAAAGAAAGTTTTATTACACAAAAAAGAAAATCTTAACTCTAACCTTCCTTTCTCATTCCGGCCTTGAAACACTTTCGTAGTCTGCAGTAGCGGCACTGGTTCCTTTTGTCTTTGTCCACAATGCATTGCCTGTCGAACCTGAAACGAATGCATTGTAATGCATAAGAACTTCATCTCAAGCACAAACAGTTCAGTCTTGAACTGTTTCAGAGAATTTACGCCGCTAACGTTGCACTGAATGGTTAATCTGCAGGTTTAAAGTGAGCAGCAGAGGTCAAGTAAGGCTCCATTATTCATTTTTTTTTAATTTGCTAGTTATGCACTATCTGAATATAAATGTTATAGCTCAAAGTTAAACCATTGAACCAAAGACTTCATTTTAATATTTTGGTGATTTTTTTTAGGTATAGAAAAATTGTTATGCTTTGTACAGCAATCAGCTGGCCCTATGATAGTACTCACCTACAGCTGTAAGTGTGGTTGTTGCGAATGCTCCTCCTGAAGAAGCCCTTGCAGCCATCGCAACTGGGTGCACCGTAATGTTTACCTGTGGCTCTGTCTGCACATATGAAGCATTGAGTCTTTGCGCCATCGGCCCCTGACAGGGATGAGGAGGATGCTGACACTACTGAACCTATGGGACATCAGAAAATATTCAGATAATATGCCTGCGAGGAAAGGTTTGACTAGCCGTCCACTGTAAGAAAGTGGGATTCTCTATGAACCTTTTTAGCTGGTCACAAACAAATAAGTAAATATCTCTGAGCTGCTTCTAAACAACACAAACAGAAAGATGGCCATACTCCAAAGAACCTCCACTTTTTATAGGAACAAACTTGTGATGTGATACAGAGGATCTGTTATGATCTTGTTTTCAGTGGTGGGTTACAACTAAAATGTTTTCACCTGAATCTAAATGTTCCAGCTTAAAGCATGTTAAACCACTTATTACTGCATTACATTATTGTTGCATGTAAATCTGTGAATGAAAGCTACATTCAAAAAATGATGTTACCTAAACTAAACCTTGATCAAGTGAGTTACCGATAGAGATGTTTTACTTGGAAAGAAAGAAAACACAGTTTTGCCTTGACCTTTCTTCCCCCCCATTACATTAGAGTGAAAACTACACTGAAAACCACCTTGTGTCTACCACACTGTTATGTTGCATTTCACCTCCATGTCTGTCCAGACCTTACCTTTGACCTCTTGGAGATAAATTGTGCAAGAGTCAGGATTGCAGAATGTACCTTTAAGGCATTTTTTGAGAAGCAGTGTTATAAGTTGGAGAGGCTTTTCCTGTCTCTGAGCTTCTGTTTCCATTTGCGTTTTAACTCAAATTGTGACTGAGGGCAGGCTACATGTGATAAAACAGTCACCATCCAACTGGCTGGTGTAAGGTGAGTAAGTGTGTAATAAACAAAGAAGCAGTCTGGAAAACAAGCATTAGTGTGGTTGTGTGTTTCTGGCTATCATCTTATGTTACAAATATCACCATTTTATTATCTTTTCATATTAGACATGTATGTGATATTTTTGTCACAATTAGCTAACCAAGTCTTGAATTCTGCCAAAAAGTATTTTACGACGTCACGTAGAATATTTTGACCAACTCCGATCATCCTTGATTCATTTTAGGATTGTAGCTTCTGATTACCATCTATTTAAGTTGTAACTGTACTCTGCATTCTAATTATGTTACACTTCCATCTAACCCATTAACAGAAACACGTAATGAATCATATTTCACCTCCGTGAAAATAATACCTTTGTACACAGAGATGAATTTGCAGAAAGGTGCTGATTATGCACTTTTGAACCCCTCAGAATCATCTTCGCACTGCTTCATAGCTGGAACAGTGTGAGGATAATAAAAGCAGGGTTATAGGTAATGATATCAGCTGTATATGAATGGCATGGACCCCTAAGGAACACTGTACCCATGAGTAAAAGGTAATTCCCCATTTAATTAAAGCAGTTTAGAAGCCAGTTAAGAACCAAAGTCCACTACTCTCCTCTGGCTAATTTTACACTGGGCACTCAGCCTCCCACCGTGTTGCTCTAAACTGCATCTTACCCCTATTGTTGCAGGACTGTCTCGCTTTAAAAGCACTGACCATCAAATATGCCATCTTGGTGTAATATTCCTGCACTAATGCACATATTTTACATGCCCCCAGCTATAATGTCTGTAAATTGCACACTTAGTTTAGGCAGATGAAGCAGCTAGGGATTTTCAATTTAACAAGGAAATGCTTTCTGTGGCCAAAGATCAGCTAGATTGAATTAAGAGATTAGAATACATTTGCCTCGCAGTTATCTGGATTTAAAGAGCAGCCTAGTAGTGAAGCTTCTTCATTTAAATTGGCAAGGAAAGGGGCTGATTCAGCTCAACAGAGTCCTAATTAGAATGACATTAGATCAGAATGTAAACTGATGTAGACCTATGGAAAAAGTAATCTGCAACTATTTTGATAATTTATGCCTTATACATAAACATTTTTATGCAACAATGCCCGATGTGGACTATGGACTTGGACCTTGGACCCTGTGAAACTGTGGCATTTCACACTTGGACATAATTTCACGTATTAAAATAAGGTTAGCTGGACTAATTAATAAAAAACAAAAACAAAAACTAGATCCCCAAAGTGATGCATTTTCAAAGCAGATCTCTTTTTAATATTCAGTTATGCAGTTTCAGTATCTTTTGGTGTGACAGTGGACAACACTCTGAAGATCGTTACTTGTAATCAAGAGCAATTTAGGTGAAAGCTCATCATACCTGTTTTATTTGCTCGTAGAGGAACCAGCATCATGTTGTTTAACAGTTTAGTCTCTGTGCTGCCATGAGTGCACTCCAGTTTAAGGATAGTCCCAGTAAGCTTCATGGTCTCTGGACTCTGTGAAGGGTTTCTGAGATATGCAAAGCTCCAGCAGTGTCAATTTTAACTTCCAGGTCATGCATTCGGCTTAGTTCTCATCCCTCACAAGTTTCCCGTGTGTTGCTCCAATTCTTTTCGTTCCCACTATTGTTTGAAAGCTTTTGTCTTTGTGCTCTTGAGCCACTCTACAGGTATTAATCTTCTTTAAAATGTCACTTGTAACATTCTTGTGGTGTGCTGAAAAGCTTGCACCATGACGGTCCTCTCAAGTAACCTGTCATTGACTCAAATTGGGTCGTTGTCCGTTTGCTTTTTTTCTTATCTGTATCTGCAAAGCATATCGAGGGGAAAGTTCAGAGACAAACTTGGCTCACTGTGACGAGCACAAATAGATAAGACCAGTGTTAGTTAGATGTTAAAAATATAAATGTCTTGCTCTTTTTCTTCTTTTTATTATTTATTTATCTAGCTTTATTAGGAAGATAAATGTGATCAAATAAAGACAAAGAAATCCAAAGACTACATGCTGGGATGTCTTTCATTGATTTTAGGAAAGGTATTCTCTTAGCTTGGACAATCAATATGCCACTGAAGAGTGATGTAGCATAAACAAACAGAATGGGAGACTGTTGAGAAGAGTACGGGCCGTGCCTGATTAACCTTTTGTTTTAATTTTTGAGGTAAGTAATACAAGACGGTGCCACATTGCAGGGGGCACAAGTGACATTTATTTACGGAGGATCGCTGTTTTTGTCTCCCTTCTACTGATAGAAGGTATTTTATTTGCTTGATAGAGACAGACATCCCTCTTTTGTTCACCTTTTCACATAAGCAGACTATTGTATATTTGGTCTTATTGATCAGTGCTGAAATCCTCAGGTTATCTGTACAAAAGTGCAAAATCCGAGGTTGTCTCTTCATTCACTGCGGTTGCTTCAGAAAATGCCATTACAGCTCAGGGAAAAAAAACAAAACGCAAAAAGCAAACCGTAGCTTGATGTATACTTCATGTATGCTTGATGTATACTTGCTACTTTTAAAAGCAAGATAACTGACCTGTTTGAAAAAAAAAAAACTGATGTTGATTTTGGCTCTTTTTGTTGCTTCTGAAAATATAGCTCCGATTAAAAATCAGAGATGCTCTGTTTGTTGTAAGATTCAAAAGGATGGAAGTATACCTGTGGTGTAAGACTTTAGGATAGACATTCACAGTCTAAACTCTGTATGATCTGAGATACAAAGAGAGCACATATACCACGATGTGTGATTTTAGACTTCAGGTATTCAAGTCAGGGTGTGTTAAGGGACAGAATTCTAAAAATGTGAAAGACAGGGAGAAAGGTGAGCATCGTCACACAATTTTTTACAAATTATAACAAATTATATGTCAGACCACATATGAGCTTCCCCAGTACCGATATCCATCATACTTTGGTGTAATGGGATTTCCTGGGTGAGTAGCACTCCCTCCTTCAATGTCATGCTAGGCCGTGGGTCAGACCTCCCCTGGCAGTGGCTCACACACTCAAGCTTTGCTTAGGTGATTGATTGATCATAAAACCCCCAAAGCCATAAGTGGACTACAGAATGGGTTTCTATGGCTTGTGGGTTTCTAACATAAAAGGGTTAAAAATGAGTTGTGAATATTGATTGTCTACCCTTTCCATCACTGATAAGCAGGATAGTGAAAACTATGTGCAAAATATGTGCAAAATACTTTTGATCAGCTCTTGGTCATTAAATGTTTAATAAATTAAAATTTTTTAATTTTCTTCCTCCTATCTGTGTAGGCCATGTTATTCCCCTAAGATTGGAAAGTTTGTCACTCAGAAGAAAAGACGGTTTTTCTAAGCCCACTAGGGGGAGACAGAGTACACTACATCTGGCCAGAGCTTTGCTTTGCAGGAGCCAAAGCTTGGAAAAGGACAAGATCAAAATGTTTGTTGCACATCTACTCAAGATTTACTTTCTTTGATCCTAAACACCAACAAGCGTCATCATGCACACGACTAACATTCCAGCTGTAACATCAGCTGGTGCATTACAATATAAGACTATTTGACCAGTTATACAAAGTAGAAAAGAAAGACGATTTATACACTTCAATCATTACCACAGTTTGGATGCTTCAGTTACAGAAGACAACCTAAATTTATTCTATGGTGTCTCAGCTCTTATTGATATAAACACTACAGAAAACCCTGGCAGAAAACTTGCAGAAAGCTCTAACTATAAAACTTTAATATGAAGTAGATACAGGAAGGCTAAGACCTTGTTAAGGATTACTATTTCTATTATATTGACACAACAATCTAAAATAACATTAGATTTTTATACAGATTTATGTTTTGCAAAATTAAATAAATATATCAAAGCTTGCAATGTGTTTTGGGGTTTCATAACAGAAAAGAGATTTAAAGACAGAAGCAAGCCTATAAGGACTTGGACAGGCATAAACTCAGAGCAATCTCAATTGTCCAGCCTTTTTTCAGGCTCTATGTCCTGACCCTGGCCCATCTCATCTCTGGGCTACTACCAACTCCAAGTTCGAACCTAATTCATTTCAATAATTTATACATTTCCAGAATTACAGCAAAAATAAAATAAAGAAGTGCTGTACAACACCACGCAGGGAAACCTTTAATAAAAACATAAAATATTCTACAAATAGATGCTCTTTAGATAAGAGCATCTCTCCGTGGAGCATTACTCGGGTCCAAACAAGGTCTGACACATTTGTCTCAGTGAATTTGATTAATAAAGCTAGATCTCAAATCTCCACATGAATACCAATTCAATAATAAGCCCTCAGCCTTTGGAGTTTCATTCAAAACTAGAGGAAAGTAAAACAAAGCAGCAAAAATTGGTCATAAAAACATGGTAAGCCCATGATTTAGTGGGGCGATAAAGAGTGGAAAGGTGGTCATTCATCATGGAGGCTAGCTCACCAGGAGAGAGCCTGTCAGAGACACCACTAGGTCTGGGAGGCATTTTGAGAGAGAAAGAGCCTCCGGTTGGCCCTTCAACCTGTTTGTTTCAATGTCTTTTCCAGACAGACACATACAGACTTTACACGGGTGACGAGCGCTTTGTCTTTGCAGCTCCATTGTCACAGTATTCCTGAGGGATGGGTGTTGTTAGCTGAAAAGGAGGGTGAAACTTTAGAAGGCTTACAGCTGCAGGACCCTTTGATGGGAACAGGAAAAGCTTTATTGGACTTTTTATTGTAACAATGTCAGGGGTTATGATGTTTCAGTGAATTGCAAAAGGCTCTGAATAAAGCTTGTGCCATGAGACCCTTATGGCCAATTGAATAACACAAGTTAAAAATAAGTAATTTTTAACATAACTTTTAGTTTTAAGGTTAAAAACCTACCCAAAATAGCCATCTATTTATGAAACACAGACGTTGTTTGACATGGAAACTTAAAGTGGTGTCCAGTGCAATAGATGCATATAAAACGTTTCATGAAACTGTGGTAAGTTGTTCATATTCTTGTTAGCTGAAGCGATTTGGCTAATAAGTTTGTTTATAGTTAAATTATAATTTGTTGTACATTTTTGCCCTGATGATTCAAAGTGAATTTTTTTAAAGGTTCAGCAAGTGGAAGACAAACCTAAAAAGTAACTTTTTTTTTTGTGTACTTGTTTCTTGTAAAGAATAAGTTACATTTTAAACTGTCTCGTTTCAGGAGAATCGTCACTTCCGGCTGTCGCCTGTAGTTTTTTGCTCGGAAAGGAATGAAAAAAGTGGACGGAGAAGGTTTTCAGTCATTAAGATGCCAGAACGATGTCCTCAAAACACAAGTACGTTGTCCTATTGTTAAAGCGACTACGGAAATGTTAAGAGTTGGGCTTTAAGTCAGGGAAAAGGATGCTAAAAGTCAGCTATGGCAGTATGCCCGTTACTGGAGTGTGAAAACCACCGACCTACTAAATCATTGTTAACCATTAAATGTCTGCAAAAGCCAGAAAAATGGTACACCTTAGCCAACACTGAAGTATTTAAGTTAAAAACAAATAGAATTTAAGATTAAAGCGCTTAAGATAACTAGATAGTCGCAGGGCTGCAACTGTTAATGTTACACATAACTAGCTTCCAACTTCCGGTAGTTTGTCTAAATTATCTCCATAACTGACACTGTATTGTTTTCTCTTACCCTGACCCTACAGTATCACCTAGCATTCAAAGTAGGGTTAGAAAATAAAGCTAACATATAAAGTGCAGCAGTATCCCATGTTTGTTTTGAAAAAGCAAATTGGCACCATTTACATGATGACTACCTAGCCATGTAAATAATACTTTGTGAGTAAAAATATGTAAAAAGGGTCAGTAATTACATTTATTTATTTTTTGTAATCATACTTCATAGGCATTAATTAATGAAGGCACTGTGTCCTGCTTCATATGTGGCCTAGCAGTAATGCTGAATGCTTCATGAAACTTTGAGCATGAAGCTGCATATCGAGACATCTTTAGTTCATTGTTTTAGTGAATTTGTGTCATAGAAAAAAACAGTAATCACTAAATAGGACTGTAACCATGTGCAACACCATTAACTGATTTATAGCTGTTGATAGGTAAAAACTAAGTAGCCTGCCACCCCTGCTTAAAAAAGAAAGAAAGAATTAAATAAATCACAAAACACATTATACACCAGTCAGACACAGCATTAAAACTAATATTGTATAGGTCCATCTTCTGCTGGCACAACAGCTTTGCTCCCCGTAGGCTTACTAGCCACATAGTTAAGGGGGACTCTTCCTCTGAACAAAGTGTTGTATCAGCCACCAATGCATTAGCAGTAGATCCTTTATCAGGTCCTTATAGGTAGCGAGGTGGGGCTTCATGGATCAGACTTGTTTTTCCTGCACATCCTATAGATGTTTTATTGGACTGAAATTTGGGGGATTTGGAGTCTAAGTCAACAACTTTTACTCTTTGTCATGTTTCTCAACCCATTCCTGAACTATTTTGCAGTGTGTCAGTGTCCATTACCCTGCTGAAAGAGGCCAGCGCCATCAGGGAATACCTCTGCCATGAACAGGAGTGCAACAGTGTTTATGTGGTTGGTATGTATCAAAGTGCATGTATTTGTAGCAGAGCACATCACACTGGCTCGCTTCATTCCAGCAGTGCGTCCAACTTCCATATGTAATGATCAAACCACGTGACAAAAAAAGGCCACCATCCTCCGCTGCTGGTCTAATTCTGACACTGTGTCCCCCTTTGTAGACCTTCTGGACCATGATTAGGCTCAAGACGGGATCAGACCCGTTTGATCCGCTCTGTATTCTGTATCGATTATAC